AAAGTTTGGTCAATAATGGTGGAAGGATGATAAAGAAGATGAAGATCTTGGATTTCAACCCACAAGACTTGAATCTCTGGTTGCAAAGCTCTTAGATGTTCTTGACGAAATAGATTTGCAGGTGGGAGTGTTCTTGGACTGAAAATGAGAGAGAGAGAGAGAGAGAGAGAGAGAGAGAGAACTGAGTCGTTGAAGAAGAAAAGAAAGGAAAAAATCGGGTTTTAAATGAGCTGCAAGGCCCAAAAACTTTATGTCCAAATGCTCGTAGGGGAGAGCAAAATAGTTGCACGGGGGTGAGCAATGGATGTATATAAGTTTCTGCCCACTTTTTGAGGTATGCTCATTTTTCGATCAAAAATTGAGTTTTTGCCAAATATTATTTCCATCCAAACCAACACTCATAATACTTCTAAAAGACTATTTTAAGGCTAAAATATATACAAAAGTTGAAATTTATGGATACTAAAAATATGTGTGTTAGTGTTACATGATCCTTCGAGCATATATATATAGAGTTTGGTTCAAATACTAACCAATTTTTTTGTGTTAACTATGTTAACCAAGCTCAACCAATTATATTCCATATTTCCTTTGGTTCAAATGTAACTCATATATTAAATACAAGGGTATTTATGTAATTTGTCATTTTATGTAACTCCCAAATAATTAATTGGAAGTTACAAATTTGAAAATATCAAAATTGATCATGATGCAATATTGACATTAGAGTTTCACACGTGTTCATGTTCTATAATTCATATTTATTTTAATCAACAGTTCTCACCTTTGACATATGAACACATCAGAAATCACACAGCCTTATATGTCGTGATTCATAAGTGTTCATGTATATTCAAGTCACTAGATGCTCATATGAATACATACACACACACAGAACATGTGAAAACATGTGAACACGTATGAAAACACACAGCCCTAGATGCCTTGGTTCATATATGTTCATGTACATACAGCAGAGTTGGCTCTTGGATATACAGAAGATGTTCATACGGTTCACATGTTGTTCATATGTCTAATCTTTTTTGTTTGATGTGGTTTGAAGATATATACAAGTTGTTCATATGTCTGACAACTCGTGTATCAAAGATAGATTACTTTTTACCTAAATRCTCTTTGATATTTTGTTCACATATGTTAATTGAAAATATTAATTTAATAATTAATTTTTAAATATCATTAAATCACAACCGTTTATTATTCAAATTAACGGTTAAGATCGATTAACAAAGTTAACACGATAATTTTGGTTAGCATTTGAACCAGCCCCTGCATATATAGATATATATATATATATATATATATGTACATATATATATTTATATATGTATATATATACATATATATATGTATATCTATACTATATTATAAAGCATTTGGCTAAAACTCTTAAAAACTCTTAAACTCTTAAACCCATTCATCTCTAAACAATTTCATCCCTATCCGATTTTCATCTCATAATTGAATTCGTGTAACTAACTGCAGATAAACATAATCAAATACAGAATAAACATCTCATTTTAAATATAAAAAATCTAAAATATAATTAGGATAATCATTGAGTTCTAACAGAATACTTAATTATTATCTTTATAAAATGTTA